GAAAGAAAATGTAATTATATTTTCTTTTAATTACTTAAAAATAGGCAATGAAAATATTTATATATAAAGCCTGGAAGCAAACAACATTTGCTTTTTATATCGAAATAGAAACAATTTTTGATTTAATATTTCAATCAATGTCGTCCGTAACCGTAGGCGTAATTTGCAGTAAAGATTCATGTATTTGTTATTCATTCCATATTTCCCTTTCAAAGTGAATGAAGGTCGAAATTCATTGAATACGTTTACCATGTATTGTGCGTAGAGAGCGTTTTAGCTCAACAAAAAAAAAAAAAAAAAAAAAAAAAAAATGATAAATCTTTGGGTTTTTTTTTCCTTATTTTGTTTTTTAAACCCACAATAAAAATATAAAGGTCAAGGTTGTACGTTCCCGTAGCACTAAATATATGAAGCTTTCTACCACTTATGCAACAATGAGTTTTTTTCATTTTTTTTTTTTTTTTTATTGTGTCAGTTGTAAGTTGTGCGTGTTTCACAAATTTTTGCTCATTTGACCTTTTTTTTTTCCTTATCATCATATTTGAATGTACTTTGGCTGCCATAGAATACGCTCTTATGCTCTAACGCTTTCTCCCTCGCATTGAAATGTGCAAGCAGTAGATTCTCGTGTATCCTTTGCTTTTACCCTTGAAAGTAAATTTAGGTTTTCTTTTTCCCTTTTTTTTTTTTTTTTGTTTTTTTTTTTTTGCACTTCTGTCATTTTTTAACATTGATTCATTTGGTTAGTTAGTAAAACATATGACGTCGGTTTGGGTCCCTGTTTGCAGCCCGTTTCCCACTGTGCTGTTTACGATGTCTGCGTCTGCTGACAGTCTAAGTGTTAGTCTTTTTTTCTTTTCTATTTCTTCGTCTTCTTCTTTTCCTCTACTTTCTTTTGCTTAACATTTTTTCCATTATATGATATCATCAGTAAGTTGTGTGTGGGTTTCTTTGGTTTCGTTGTGCCGTCGTAGTTTTCTTAGAAATCAATTTGATCCTTTTAAGTTTTCGAGTTGACTTTCAGTTCATCTGAGTTGTTTGACCTTTTTTTTAATGTTTTTCCTTTTTTTTTCTTTTTCCTCCATTTTTTGTGTTTACTGGTTAATATTATTTTTTTCGGCTTTTGGTTTTTTCCATACTTTGGTAGAAGCTCGTTATTTCAACAGGTTGTCGTCATGTCTTGTTTTATTTTCTCTTTTTTTTTTTTGTTTTTTTGTTTTTTTCTAAGCAACTAAATGTTACTTTGCATGTTTTTCAACACTTTTTACTTGGAATTCACTGCTTCGTTTTATTTTTATTTTTCTTTTTTGTCTCTTTTTTTTGGCATTTTTACTCTAAGACTACTACTACTATAACTTGCAAAAGTTCATTGACATTTCGATTTCGGTTTTAAGGAAAAAAAAAAAAAAAGTTTCTTCTCTTTACTAATTACGGAAAGGTCGGAACGCGATTTCCTTTATTTTTGCATAATAAAGAAAAAAAAAAAAAAAAATGTATATATGTATATATCGGTTTCTTTGAAAGAAGTGCATATACTTCGACTTAATATTAGGTGGAGTAAAAAGTGATGCAGCCTTTTGCTCGCGCGAAAGATCTCAGATCATAAGAGTCGCATTCGATGACGTCAATTTGTCATTGCTTCGCGGATATTTCACTTCAATATTGTTCGTAGTGATAGTAGTAGCGGCGGTGCATAATTTTTAACGATTACGACTGCTTTGAATGCTAAATTTGGATTCCGCACGTCAACGATTGGGGTGAACGGAACGGTGCTTGTGAACAGAGTTAGTGCGTTCGTCATGTTTGCTGTCAAACACTAAACGACTCGAAAACGAACTCGGAAATATTAGAGTATCACTTGCCTCGATCTCTACAGAGCAATATCTACGTAAAGCGTATGTCGTTTAGTTGGATTCTTTCTTTCATCTCAAGATAGCCGAAGTTAACCATAAGTACACTTAATTGCTTCGTTTTCTTTACGGATGCATAAATATTGTTTAAAATCTTATCTGCACTTCTTCAGAATTCAAGCACAAGAAGTTCATCCAAACAAATATTATAATCTGTGAGCGTATCGCATAGCAGCTTTGATCGATATCGGTTTATCAAAAAAAAAAAAAAAAAAAAAGGTAACAAGTTCCATTTCATGAGAACAGAAACTCAGATATTCAACTATTTGCTTATTTTATGGTAAAATTTCAATGATAGTAACTCGTGCAGAAAACCCAAGCTTTGCAAAGTCTTGTATGTCAACCCAAATCATTTCCGTAATTGTGCAACCAGCGCTAATTGCATGCGCATCGAAAGTCTCTTGTTTGCACACAACAGGTGGCATCCTCGCTACCTTTCATGTTTTCACTTGGGAAATTTAGCGGAACATAGTTGCGACATATATCACCAAAAAAGAAAAAAAAAGCATTTCGAGGCTCTTTGAAGCTTTTCGGTAATTTTTATCTGTCCATTTGCCTTATATATCCTTTTAATTATTTATCATCATTATTATCTATTCGCTTTTCCTGGTTTGTAATGCTTTCTCTTCCTCTTCTTCTTCTTCTTCTTCTTCTTGTACCGTATTCCTGTCTGCCTTTCTGTTCACTGTGCTATCTATTTGTCTGTTCGCTCATTTTGTCCGTTGCCTTGTCTAGCATACTCTAAGCGCGTTATATATTGAATTCCAGAAGTTTCACCTGACATTGAAAATTTCTATGGTATGTGACTGTTCCGTTTTACGTCAACCTTACGCATGCAATTCTTATTTTGATAATCCGGAACGCCGTCAAATAAATTTGAAACCGTCTCGCTATCGTAACTTCGGGAATTGCAAAAGTTATCAACATTAAACGAAGCTAATTAATGAATTAGAATCTCTGCGCTTGGCGTGATTCTAATTCGAAACTGTACCCATCTCGCTTACATATATAAAAAAACATTTTTCCCATTAAATCAAAAATGATATGTCATTCATTGATAGCTTTCTATACCGTTTCGGTTATCCTTACAGGTAACGTAACGCGTTATTAATTCAAATCAAATCCTTTAAAATCCTCCTGCTTAGTGGTATGCAACTAAAGTTTCCCTTAATGCAAAATTCCGTTTAGTTATAATATTTTTCATTTTTTTTTAAAGAAAATTATTTTTCAAATTCTTGATTTCCTTTTTTTTTCTTTAATTTGCGATTTATAAACGCAAATTCATTAAATTACGCTCGCAGTTCATTTTATTCTTTTAAACATCTATCAAGATTAATATAAAATGTGTATCCGTATCCTTTCTCTCCTCCACCGCTCAATAAGCTCTTTTATATATATATGTATACGCGTATGCATACACGTACCCGTACCGAGATTAAGTATCGTACGTAACACGCATACAAGCATAAACGCACATTTTAAACAAAAGCAATAAATTTAAAATTCAATTTAAAACGAACATAAATTTACAACAATAAAAATTGAAAGAAAAGAAAAAGCAAAAACAAAAGCAAAAAACAAAGACAAGCAGGAAAAACACGTCGAAGCATGTCATTTGAAACCATTTACCAGACTTTTTTTTCTTCTTTCCAAACAAATACATATAAATATTGTATGTATGTAACATCGGTTGCCCTTACATAAATGCGTATACATTTATGTTATAATTCTGTATGCGACAGTGTGTGCGTGTGTGTGTGTGTCTGTGATGAATAATGCTTTATTTTTCGAAATATTTGTGAAAAATATTCGATTGACTCTCTTTCTCTCTCTCTCTCCCTCTCTCTCTCTCTCTCTCCCTCTCTCTCTCTCTCTCTCTCTCTCTCTCTCTCTGTCTCTCTCTCTCTCTCTCTTTCTGTCTCTCTCTAAGCAAATATTGAAAATTAAAAAAAATAAGAAAATATAATAACTAAATAAATAAATAATCAATTGCAATTTCACCACGAGCACAACTTTATAAGGGATATGATGATCGCAACAGATCTTTCGAAATTTCGAAAATTAGGCGTATGCGTGTCGTCCCAGCGGTCAGTTCTGTTTTTACGATGTTCAGCACTGCATGCTTTCTTACTCGTTCTCTTTCTATCTCTCTCTCTCTCTCTCTCTCTCTCTCTCTCGTATTTTCTTTCCCTTGGTCTGCCACTCCAATAAGTTCTCTACTCCCTTTTTTCATACGTGGGGAAGACTCCCATTAAATTCACCAGTGTTCATATAACACATATCTGCTGGATAGTCGTTTTTTAGAGTTTTCGAGTTCTTCAAAATTCATGCGAACAGTTTAGTTATAGACCATGTCTGAAATTTGACAAATGGATTGGCGCACAATTACCCCAGCAACAGATAAAAGGTTTAGCAGACATCAATCAATAAAAATTGAAGTTTTGCTTAAAATTTCCATTAACATCTTACAAACAATCGCAGACATACAGATCTCAAGTACTTGTCAATGTCATGGAACAAACAAATGCTTACCCATACGAAAATTGTGTAGATTAGTCGGATGCTACAGTAATAACTAACAGAAAAGACTATACAATCTTTTATATATGCCTCAGGTAGTGTATTTGAAAATTTCTTTGTTGATCTCAAAAGTGAGTTGAACGGCGGGTGAAAGGCGGTTCAAATATTGCTATTAGTAGCATTTGGTATAAAACTAATAGTAGATCGTATCCTTCTGGTTCCACCAAACATCAATCATCGTCTTCTTGTCAAAGCAATTCGGTCTTGCGCTCGATAGAAATGGTACGCTTGGATGTCTCTATGAATTTTAGTGCTTGAAATCTCATCCCCACTAATGATACCAAGCA